TCCCACGACACCGCACAGGCCCGCCGCACGCCGGAATGAACGTGGAGTCCTCCTGAACCCCGGGCCATCCTGGAGTCCCACGCACAGCCCCCGCACTCGGAAAGGAGTCCTCACCTGAACCGCCGGGTTTACAAAAACCACAACACAGGCGTTCCCTAGTCCCAGCACGGAGTAGCCCCGAGCTGCCAGGACAGGAAGGATTCCTCGGTAGGCCTGAAGCGCCGTCGTCAGCGCTGTGAAGCGTTCCCCGGCAGTCCGAACGCACCCGCACGTACCGGCTCAATGGGAGACGCGTACGCTAGGAACGTAGGCCGTCCCTGGGAGTCCCACGCACAGACCCGCCGCGACCCGTAAGGAGTCTATCCCTGAACCCCCGTGCCTACCCTGGTAGTCCACCGCACGAGACACAGAAGGCACCTGGAAAAGCGAGTCCTCCCTGAACCCCGAGGCGCGTGGTCCTGGAGTCTCCACAGCACAGGCGCTACGGCCGAAGGAGGTCCCCTCACACTTCCTCTCGTGCCTGAACAACGCGCGGCCTCCCGTGGGATATCCTCCCCGACGCAACAGAGAGAGAGCCGCCCGTAACATCTGGAATGTCGAAGTCCGCTCACCGGTGAAGCCGGAGAGAAACGCGACCGGGCCTCGCCGTGGTGAGATCCTACGCACGTGTAGCAGCAGCGGAGGGAAGAGGGGCGACTGGAAGGAGTCCCGTCGGCCTGAACCCAGCGGCCTCCCTGGGAGTCCCAACTCACAGCCCGCGAACTACCTAAGGAGACGAGTCCTGTCCTCCCCTGACCCTGGCGCCTGCACTGGGGTGGGAGTGCCGCAACGCCAGCGCACAGCCGGAGGAGCCCTCCTGACCCCGGCCTCCCTTGGAGTGCCCACGCACAGCCCCCGCACCTGGAAGGAGTCCTCCCTGAACCCCGGGCCCTCCCTGGGAGTCCCACGCACATGCCCCTGCACCTGGAAGGAGTCCTCCCTGACCCCGGGCCTCCCTGGGAGTCCCACGCACAGCCCCCACCGCCTGGAAAGGATCCTCCCTGAACCCCCGGCGCTCCCTGGGAGTCCCACGCACAGCCCCCGCACCCTGGAAGGAGTCCTCCCTGAACCCCGGGCCTCCCTGGGAGTCCACGCACAGCGCACCTGGAAAGAATCCCTCCCTGAACCCCGGCCTCCCTGGAGTCCCACGCACAGCCCCCGCACTGGAAGGAGTCCTCCCTGAACCCCGGGCCTCCCTGGGAGTCCCACGCACTAGCGCACCTGGAAGGAATCCTCCACTGAACCCGGGCCTCCCTGGGAGTCCCACCCACAGCCCCCGCGAAGCCCTTTAAGGAGTCCTCCCTGAACCCCTGGCCTCCCTGGAGTCCCACGCGACAGCCCCCGCACCTGAAAGATCCTCCCTGAACCCCGGGCCTCCCTGGGAGTCCCACGCACAGCCCCTCCCGCACCCTGGAAGGTAGTCCTCCCTGAACCCCGGCCTCCCTGTGAGTCCCACGCACAAGCCCCGCACCCTGGAAGAATCCTCCCTGAACCCCGGCCTCCCTGGGAGTCCCACGCACAGCCCCCGCACCTGGAAGATCCTCCCTGAACCCGGGCCTCCCTGGGAGTCCCACGCACAGCCCACCCGAACCCGGAAGGAGTCCTCCCTGTAACCCTGGGCCTCCCTTGGAGTCCACGCACAGGCCCCCGCACCTGGAAGGAGTCCTCCTGAACCCCGGGCCTCCCCTGGGAGTCCCACGCACAGCCCCCGCACCTGGAAGGAGTCCTCCCTGAACCCGCGGGCCTCCCTGGGAGTCCACGCACAGCCCCCGCACCTGAATGAAGTCCTCCCTGAACCCCCCGGGCCTCCCTGGGAGTCCCACGCACAGCCCCCGCACCTGGAAGGAGTCCTCCCTGAACCCCGGGCCTCCCTGGGAGTCCCACGCCCAGCCCCACGCACCTGGAAGGAGTCCTCCCTGAACCCCGGGCCTCCCTGGGAGTCCCACGCACAGCCCGACGCACCCTGGAAGGAGTCCTCCCTGAACCCCCGGGCCTCCCTGGGAGTCCACACGCCCACCAGCCCCGAACGCCTCCCTGACAGCCCCGGAGTCCTCCCTGAACACCTCCGGGCCACACCCTGAAGGAGTCCTCCCTGACGGGCCTCCCTGGGAGTCCCACGCACAGCGCACCTGGAAGGAGTCCTCCCTGAACCCCGGGCCTCCCTGGGAGTCCCACGCACAGCCCACCGCACCCGGAAGGAGTCCTCCCTGAACCCCGGGCCTCCCTGGGAGTCCCACGCACAGCCCCCCGCACCTGGAAGGAGTCCTCCCTGAACCCCGGGCCTCCCCTGGGAGTCCCACGCACAGCCCCCGCACCCTGGAAGAGGAGTCCCCTCCCTGAACCCCCGGGCCTCCCTGGGAGTCCCACGCACAAGCCCCCGCACCTGGAAGGAGTCCTCCCTGAACCCCGGGCTCCCTGGGAGTCCCCACGCACAGCCCCCGCACCTGGAAGGAGTCCTCCCCTGAACCCCGGGCCTCCCTGGGAGTCCCACGCACAGCCCCCGCACCCGGAAGGAGTCCTCCCTGAACCCCGGGCCTCCCTGGGAGTCCCACGCACAGCGCACCTGGAAGGAGTCCTCCCTGAACCCCGGGCCTCCCTGGGAGTCCCACGCACCAGCCCCCGCACCCTGGAAGGAGTCCTCCCTGAACCCCCGGGCCTCCCTGGGAGTCCCACGCACAGCCCCCGCACCTGGAAGGAGTCCTCCCTGAACCCCGGGCCTCCCTGGGAGTCCCACGCCACAGCCCCCGCACCTGGAAGGAGTCCTCCCTGAACCCCGGGCCTCCCTGGGAGTCCCACGCACAGCCCCCGCACCTGGACAGGAGTCCTCCCTGAACCCCGGGCCTCCCTGGGAAGTCCCACGCACAGCCCCCGCACCTGGAAGGAGTCCTCCCTGAACCCCGGGCCTCCCTGGGAGTCCCAACGCACAGCCCCCGCACCTGGAAGGAGTCCTCCCTGAACCCCGGGCCTCCCTGGGAGTCCCACGCACAGCCACCGCACCTGGAAAGAATCCTCCCTGAACCCCGGGCCTCCCTGGGAGTCCCACGCACAGCCCCCGCACCCTGGAAAGGAGTCCTCCCTGAACCCCGGGCCTCCCTGGGAGTCCCACGCACAGCCCCCGCACCCTGGAAGGAGTCCTCCCTGAACCCCGGCCTCCCTGGGAGTCCCACGCACAGCCCCCGCACCTGGAAGGAGTCCTCCCTGACCCCCGGGCCTCCCTGGGAGTCCCACGCACAGCCCCCGCACCTGGAAGGAGTCCTCCCTGAACCCCGGGCCTCCTGGGAGTCCCACGCACATGCCCCCGCACCATGGAAGGAGTCCTCCCTGAACCCCGGCCTCCCTGGGAGTCCCCACGCACAGCCCCCGCACCTGGAAGGAGTCCTCCCTGAACCCCGGGCCTCCCTGGGAGTCCCACGCACAGCCCCCGCACCTGGAAGGAGTCCTCCCATGAACCCCGGGCCTCCCTGGGAGTCCCACGCACAGCCCCCGCACCTGGAAGGAGTCCTCCCTGAACCCCGGGCCTCCCTGGGAGTCCCACGCACAGCCCCCGCACCTGGAAGGAGTCCTCCCTGAACCCCGGGCCTCCCTGGGAGTCCCACGCACAGCCCCCGCACCTGGAAGGAGTCCTCCCTGAACCCCGGGCCTCCCTGGGAGTCCCACGCACAGCCCCCGCACCTGGAAGGAGTCCTCCCTGAACCCCGGGCCTCCCTGGGAGTCCCACGCACAGCCCCCGCACCTGGAAGGAGTCCTCCCTGAACCCCGGGCCTCCCTGGGAGTCCCACGCACAGCCCCCGCACCTGGAAGGAGTCCTCCCTGAACCCCGGGCCTCCCTGGGAGTCCCACGCACAGCCCCCGCACCTGGAAGGAGTCCTCCCTGAACCCCGGGCCTCCCTGGGAGTCCCACGCACAGCCCCCGCACCTGGAAGGAGTCCTCCCTGACACCCGGGCCTCCCTGGGAGTCCCACGCACAGCCCCCGCACCTGGAAGGAGTCCTCCCTGAACCCCGGGCCTCCCTGGGAGTCCCACGCACAGCCCCCGCACCTGGAAGGAGTCCTCCCTGAACCCCGGGCCTCCCTGGGAGTCCCACGCACAGCCCCCGCACCTGGAAGGAGTCCTCCCTGAACCCCGGGCCTCCCTGGGAGTCCCACGCACAGCCCCCGCACCTGGAAGGAGTCCTCCCTGAACCCCGGGCCTCCCTGGGAGTCCCACGCACAGCCCCGCACCTGGAAGGAGTCCTCCCTGAACCCCGGGCCTCCCTGGGAGTCCCACGCACAGCCCCCGCACCCTGGAAGGAGTCCTCCCTGAACCCCGGGCCTCCCTGGGAGTCCCACGCACAGCCCCCCGCACCTGGAAGGAGTCCTCCCTGAACCCCGGGCCTCCCTGGGAGTCCCACGCACAGCCCCCGCACCTGGAAGGAGTCCTCCCTGAAACCCCGGGCCTCCCTGGGAGTCCCACGCACAGCCCCCCGCACCCTGGAAGGAGTCCTCCCTGAACCCCGGGCCTCCCTGGGAGTCCCACGCACAGCCCCCGCACCCGAAGGCAGTCCTCCCTGAACCCCGGGCCTCCCTGGGAGTCCCACGCACAGCCCCCGCACCTGGAAGGAGTCCTCCCTGAACCCCGGGCCTACCTGGGAGTCCCACGCACAGCCCCCCGCACCCTGGAAGGAGTCCTCCCTGAACCCCGGGCCTCCCTGGGAGTCCCACGCACAGCCCCCCGCACCCTGGAAGGAGTCCTCCCTGAACCCCGGGCCTCCCTGGGAGTCCCACGCACAGCCCCCGCACCTGGAAGGAGTCCTCCCTGAACCCCGGGCCTCCCTGGGAGTCCCACGCACAGCCCCCGCACCTGGAAGGAGTCCTCCCTGAACCCCGGGCCTCCCTGGGAGTCCCACGCACAGCCCCCGCACCTGGAAGGAGTCCTCCCTGAACCCCGGGCCTCCCTGGGAGTCCCACGCACAGCCCCCGCACCTGGAAGGAGTCCTCCCTGAACCGCAGCAGCTCCGGGTGGTCGTTGTGCAGGTGGAACGTTCTCCGGGAGGGGTAGGGGTTGGTGTAGGTGATACTCTTGTTGACGCCCTTCCCTTCACCCGCAGCCAACATGATCTCAAAGGCCTGTGGAGGGAGGGGACAGGGAGACGCTGTAGCCACTCGCAGATGCAGCCACTGGCCCCTTCTCCAAGTATCCCCTGAGCCTACTGTGCACCATGCCTGACCCCAGACACGGGGGACCCCACAGGGATAAGGCAGATGCTCTCTGGAGCTTCCATCCGGGAGACAGACAGCACAGGAGCGAACACTTGTGCACTCAGCCCTGCGGGGTCAGACCCCTGGGTCAGGTGGCCAAGTCACAGGGCCGAGGTAGGGGTCCTGCAGTGCCTTGGTATTGAGCCCCTGTGCCCTCAGCCTGCGCCTGTCACACATACATACCTTGGAGATGAGCGGCTGGCGGCAGGAGAGGCACACGAGCCAGGAGGCCACCAGCTGGTGACAATCCACGTCCACCAGGTTCAGGTGGATGAAGCGGCTGCCAGCCCTGAGAGGCCTCACGCCAACATGCAGGTCCTGCACCCCTCGAGGTGGCAGCACAAAGACACCTTTGGGGTCCGTCTTTAAGAGCAAGAGACGTGGGTCAGGACAGAGCGTTTCCCGGTGTGCAAACAGGAGGCTCCCGGGTGCCTACAGCCCCGGCAGCCAGGGGAGCCCAGGGTGACGGCGCTCAGGGGCAGCCAAATCTGAAGCCACAACCCAACCTTGCATCACTGTGGCCGTGGCTCGGGTCTGCACCGGGAAGTCTGTCCTCCCACGTGGTGACTGTTCCCTCAGCGCTGCCTTCCGCATAGGGAGAACCGAAGACCATCTTGGGCTTAAAACCCTGGCCAGCTGGTGGGACCTGGGGCCTGCCCACCCCGTCTAACTGTGGCTTCATTAACACCAGAGCTCCTGCCACTGTTTACCTTCCAGGAATTCTGAACACTGGCCTTTGGGAGTTGGTGTGTACGTCACTCACCCCACAATGGCACATCTAATGAAAGGCGACTGCTAGGAAGCCTCTGCTGACAGCCTCTGAGTGCTGGAGGCGCCATGAAAGCTGCCATCGGGACCACCCACTGTGCTGCACGGAATGCCCGCCACCCATCTCCAGGCTGGGGTTGGGAAGAGGCTCAGAAGAGCCCCCAAAGAGGCCGTACCTTCAGCTCCTGGGGGTGCGAGGTGAAAGCTCTCACTTTCCTCACTGTCTTCGTCCCCCGAAGGACAAGGGACAGGCGGGTCAGCTGGCCTGTGATGCAGGAGACATCCACACGCTGCAGGGAGTGGAGGTACACCTGCCACGTCTGTGTAGGCACCGCCAGCCAGCGATCCCTGCAGTAGGACAGGAGCTATCTGCACTTGTCCCTGAGGATGCAGCACCAACCCGTGAGAGGCTGACAAGGGCTGCCAGGAGCACTGGGCAGCAGGAAGGCTGTGCAGGGAACGCCCCAGAGGACGGCCCCGGGCAGGCAGAGCTGGGGCCTGCTGGCTCCACCCCTGGCTGCCCACCTCCCACCTACAGCAGAGGCTCTCAGGGCACAGCAGGGCTGACTGATGCCCCCCACTTGTCAGTACCCAGGATGCCACCTGGCACAAGAGTGCTTAGGAATCACGTGTCAAACAAATGAGAAGGCACGCTTTGGCCAAACACACATCCTGGACAAGTGGTCACCCCCAATAAGGGTTCTGAGGCAAAGCCAAGGGCAGTGCCACACAGGAGAGAGAGCAGAGCTGGAGGTGACGCCAGCCTGAGCACAGAGGCCCCTGTTAGCATCTTAGAGCCAAGAGCCTGGTGCTTCATAGTAAAATAGGACTGGGTGAAGCATCTTCATGGGCCCATGAGGAAGCCACTCTGAGACGTGTCCACGCGGCCCCTCACCCTCTGGTGGGCATACCCTCCTCGGAAGTACTGCAGGAAACCTCCCAGCTCACACCAGTTTTAAAGGATTCTCACAGGGCTTGGAAATCGGACTTAGGAAGGGAGAGGAAGGGGCCGGTCATTTAGCCTGGAGGAGAGAGGGGCAGGCCATCCCACCATAGCCCTCCACCTCGCAGGAGGGGCCACAGCTTCATGCACGCTGTTCGGCCTGGAGACTCAGCGCGGAAAGTGACAAGGGGCTTCTGGGCAGCCCTTGGCGCTGTCTGGGGACAGAGGCTGCCTCGTGTCTTTCCTTGGTGGGCACGGGCTGCATCCCAAGTCTCTCGGTTTGCGCGTGTCCCTCTGGAATACAGAGGACGCCTTCCCCAGGCCCCGCCGGCTCACAGCAGAATCCCGCCTCACAAAGCAAAGGCCCAGTAGCTCCCCCAAGTTTAGGAAGGGGCCAAGCCCACTTTCAATCCGGCAGTGGCCCCAGGCCTTCCTCCTCCTCGCCCCTGCCACAGTCCCCAGACCCCCGAAGCCTGTGCACTTACGAGTAAATGGTGACAAAGAAGTCTTTGATCTCCGGGCTCGGACCACTAGCTACCTTCAGAAACACGTCCCGTGGCTCCCCGGGGCCCTGCCAACCGGACATGCAGCACTTCAGGACACAGAGCCCACTGCCCGGCTCTGCTGACCCCAGCCAGGCCCCTAAATCTGCAACTAGTCCATGCCGCAAGGGAGGGCCAGCCCCTCCCAACGAATCTGTTCACGTTCTGTACCAGTCTCAATTCACTATTCTGTTCCCTGCCAATGAGAAAATCACGGGCTTCCTGATTCTACATGGATCTCAATAATTAGATTCTACAGGAGATTTTATCCAGTTTCCTAACTGGTCATAACACAATTATTGCCTTATCCTTTACACAATGGTAATTAATAAGTGCCTTAATTACCATTTACTTTATTCACTTTGCTTCATGCCTTTTTAAAATTTAAATTCAGATGATCAAGGAGCTGATCTACAAGTAGAAAAAATTAAAATCCGCTCGTAAAACTCTCATAAGAATGTCAAAATAGCCCTTTAGTACCTTGGGAAAGAAACCACTTAGCAGAAAACCTAAAATGAGGAGGCTCCCAGGGACCCGCGGGGAAGACGGTGGGAGCAAGGCCTCGCCGGGAAGGATCTGCCTGAGCCGGGGCCACGACACAACCTACCACGTGCTGGGTCTCACAGATGACATTCGGGTCGCTGCAGCGAATGTGGACTGGGGGGTCCTCACCAGGCATCCCCACCTGAGCACCTGGAGTGGGGAAATGTCAAAGAGTCTTCTCCACAGCCCAGGCCTGTGGGGACAGCCCCACTGTTACACACTACAGGACAGGCCGGGCTTATTACGGTGCTTAGCAAAACCCCTGCTGGGGAAATGGACACTGCCACCTTTCCCAGGACAGCATCCAAGCACCGTGTTCCCTGCATGGACACCGCCCGTCCAGCCCACCACGGCTCAGCTCAGCCACCTCCTCAGGGAATCAAGGGGGTCATAAAAAGGAAGCCACAGCTCCCTGGAGCAGGGAAGCCTGCACTCGGCAGTAAGGGCGCCTACCAGAAACACGCGGCCCATCAGGTGAGGAGGCAGGTGTTCCTCCAGGCACACCCGGACCTGCGGCCATCAGGTGAGGAGGCGGGTGTTCCTCCAGGCACACCCGGACCTGCAGCCATCAGGTGAGGAGGCGGGTGTTCCTCCAGGCACACCCGGACCTGCGGCCATCAGGTGAGGAGGCGGGTGTTCCTCCAGGCACACCTGGACCTGGGCCACGAGAGCTGGGATTTTTAGAAGGGTGGACTCAGCCAGCAAATTCACACCTGGTCATCTCAGAGGTAGCAAGAGGGATACTATCTCAAACCATAAAGGCAAGAGGCAGAATTCCCTAGGCACCATGTGCTGCTCTAACAGCACCAGAGCGTGAAGTCATGAGGTCATCTGTCACCCTCAGGAGACATCTACTTCACACAGGTGAGCCTGCAACATGTGGCCATGGGGTCAGTGTGGGACCTGCCTGGAAGCGTGTGCCAGGGTGGCAGGCGGATGGCCTTCTTCAGGAAGGTGAGCTCCGGGTGATAGAAGCGGAAGACCTGGTCCACCATGTGGGGCTGCAGTTCCACGGTCAGGCAGAGCACGGCGATGGGCTTGCCGTCACTTGCTCGGAACAAGACCTGTGAGGAGGCCACACTGAGCGTTGGGATGGGCACGAGGCTCGTGGGCAGCTTCTCGTCCCTCCTTAGACAGTACAGGGTTCTCCACTGTCGCCATGACCCACTCACCCTCCGCTGCCATGAGGGGGAAAGGTCGGGCATCATGAGAGGCAGGGACTGAGTCTGCAGCAGTGGGTGCCACCCAGAAGGGACCAGAGCAAGGCCCAGGCCGGCACCCAGAGGGGACCAGAGCAAGGCCCGGGCCGGCACCCAGAGGGCATCAGAGCAAGGCCTGAACCAGCACCCAGCACAGGGCACCCGAGCAGCCACACTGCTGTTATTTCTCTCAAGTACGCACACTTCTGCCATGATTCCACCTCCCAACACCCTGCATGCACATGTGCAAGTCAGGCCAGGAGGTCCTGGGGTGGGTGGTGACATGGTCAAGTTCACGGTCAAACACATCAGCATGAGCTCTTTGAGTCCGGATGACATAAAGAGGCTGTGCCTAAACAAAAAGGGTTAGAAATAGAAACTTTCCTGGTTTCGAAAATTACTTATTAAAAACCATATTGTCTAAAAAGGTATTAATTTGGACAACTGATACAAAGGCTATGTTTATTTCAAGATATATACACACCCACAGAGACATGCACATGCACACATACACACACACACGCATGCACACACGCATGTAGACACACACATGCAGACACACTTCACATCTGCACACACTGAGGAGGAGAAAGGAGCAGGGGCAGGAATGGAAACAAGATCCTTCCAAATAAGTCTTGCTTTATAGTTTGACTTTGGTCTTACTTAAATGTTTTTAATTTTAAAAACTAAACTAAAATATATGGACGTGTCAATGTATTAACAATAAACAAATCTAACCTTTTATCAAGTTGATGCTGTAATTCCCCAAAGGAGAATTCTTTAAGTAAATTTACATCATAGGACACAAAGGACCTAAGGGCAAAAGCACCCTCAGAAACCTTCCTCTATACAGAGAATACTCTATCCCTGGTTGGTACCGACATTCTGAAATATACACAAAGATGGCCAGTGTGGTCAGTGGTATTGTAGCCAAAGGGATTTAGCCAGTGTGGTCAGCAGATCGGTATATACAGAGGAATTAGGCAAATAAGTAACTATAGTGAACCAAATGGGAACCAGGTTTCTCACAAGCAGAAATGGGAATTACAAACATGGAAACAGACAACAGAAAGAAACCTGTGATGCTAACTGGTACTAGAAGAACTGGCACGAACTCATGGTCTTCAACACACACAGAAACAGTCTGTGCACATACACACACATACATGTGCACACATAGATATCTACATGTCATATATGCATGCTATGCACATATGTCTATGTCTGCATCTGTACATGCAGGCACATACCTCTTAGGTCTCTCTGCTAAGAGGGACTAGCGGCAGTGACATCCCAGTAGTACTGAGAACATCTAGCACTCACATCTTGGTTTCTAAATATCATTCTCCACCCAAAGGAACCTTAGCTAAATGGCTGACATTCCGGAAATGCATGCTGAGCCTGGGGCATCTTGCTGTGCTGGCAATAAGGAAGGACTCGGAGGAGGACAGGGATGAATCAACAGGACACAGGAGCTGGCCTGAAGGGGCTACCCCTCGTTAGTTGGGGACAATATGAATATCAGCAACAAAATAACAAAATGAGTAAAACAGAAATTCACTATTCAGAAGGATATAAAAAATAACTATGTGAATGAGGTAAAGGCCCAGCTCTACCTTACTTAAAATGCCAGTGATCAACAGAAAAGGAATGATGGAATGTGAAAACCCGTGGCAGGCAAGCATCCTGATACTGACTCGGGCCAGGCCACCAGTGCACAGTGAGACCTAGTGCATAAAGTCTGATGAAGAACAGGGCATCTGAATGGCCTCAGTATCTCCCGACAAGATACTTACTCGTTGCTAATTACTAAACACAAAACATTTCTTGATTATTACAGGAAAAGAGTATGGCAGATGCCATCTGAACTGAATGAAAAAGGAATCACCAGTAACAGGACAAAGCAACATTGTGTCCCTCCCAGTATGAAGTTCTGAGAGGACACAGCAAGTATCTGCAGAGTCCCTGCCCCAAAGGCATAATCTGGGTCTAACCGAAGCAAACACCAGACCGGCCCCACTGGGTGCGCTGCAGGAAAAGCATCTGCGCACTTCTGAATGGCTGCAGCCATGCCAGAAGGACTCCGTGGGCAGCAGGCTGGCCAGGGCCACTGGGTGGGCAGTCCGTCAAGTACCGGGACCTTTGTGAATGTGAATGGGGCCTGTGAGGACAGAAGAGGAGCGTCCTTCCCATAATTTCATGATTCTGCTTTGGTCACCGAGGAGAGTGGACTCATTTTCAAGACAGTTGATGACTTCAACTCAGCCTGAAGTGTCATGATTAAGGGCCATTCCTTGATCATTTATTCTCAAGCTGTTCAGAAAAAATGCATAAGCAGAGAACGGCAAGGCAAACGTGGCAAAGGTCAGCGGCCGGGACGTCTGGGGAAACCGCATGTGGGGATTCTCTGCACTTTTCCTGTAACTTCTTCCGAAGTTCAAAATTATTTAAAGTAACTACTCTTTATGAAAAAGGCACAGAGTTAACTTGAAAAGGATGGTGGTGGCCAGAAAGAGGGCAGTTCCAGCATCTAAGAGTGCCTGCCATGGGATGAGAAATAGAAATATAAAACCCAGCTGTCCATCATGAGACGCCACAAACATGGACCGTCTCTGGAGGCTGCTAGGATGCAGCTCATTTATTTGAAAATGGATAAATAAAGGGAATGAGTCTAACATTCACCCTCACTTGCCAGTACAAATGTTTCAGGTAACCAAACTGCTGATAGGAAAAGTTCTCATTTGTAGAAAACTCACCGGGAGAATGGCAGGGAGACTTTACAACAGCAGCATCAGGCCGTCAGCACCTGAGCACGGTGCCAGCCAGCATGCTCTGTGGGTGGCCTTCGTAAAGGATGCAGTCTCCCCACTAAGCCACTCCAGAGGTGGAACACCCAAGGAGGACAGCAGTCCTGAACCAAACACACCAGCTGTAGAAAGACCCAGCCCTGGAGGCAGACAACGCCAAGATCTGCGTTGATTGTGGGCAGGATGACAGCATGCAGTCACGGTAAAAAGAAGAGTCCTTATCGGTCAGACACACCCTGAAGTCATTACGGGTAAACTAATACAACACCTAGATTTCCCCTAGAACTCCAAATTCATGTGAAGAGATCACATTTTTGACATAAAGATTATCTTAAGGTGAAAACACCTGAAATCTTATCTGCAAGTCCCTTATCTGACTAGTGCACAGCCTCCTGAAAATGCAGCTGCCATTAACCCCCCATTTCAAAGTGAAATTGTCCTGCAAATTCCAGGAAGGTCACAGACTGCCCGTGCCCACAGAATAAAAAGACAAGAGAATGTCCCTGCCTTCCCACAGAGGCCCTGGCCCTGGCCCACTTTGTGCTACATTGGCACAGAAACCTCGACCTCTGGGCATTCGGCAAGCTGCCAGCTTCTCAATGCTGCCACAGGCTCATGACGTTGAGGCCCGTCTCTCCTCCTGTCCCTCTGTCTGCGGTCATGCACCTGCAGGCTTGCCATTCAGACCTAAGCAGGCAGAGGACGACTTTCCTCCCAATGGTTTTGGCAACAGGATGTGATGGCTAGGACTTCCCACACGTGTAAGGAAAAAGCATTAGCCTCAGATGTAACCCAAAGCACTAAATACAGAAAAGATGTATTCCTTAGACCAAGGCAAAGCTGTGGTTGCAGATTTAAATAAAATAAAGCAAGTTTGCACTGATGACAGAGCTGGTGGGGGCCAGGCTGCAACCAGTGAGACTCGGGCCACAGGGACTCCACAGCAGGGACCCCACAGCCTCAGGCTGGGACGGCTCAACTCTGAACTCTGTTCTCCAGGCAGGGTGCCGGAAAGACCAAGGCTTTTTTATTTTGCTTTTCACTTCCCAACTACTACAAATGGCATGTTTCTACCAAATTAAAAAAACCCTTCGGAAACTGCCATAACGCAGTAGTGTTTCTCAAGCTCCCCCTGAGAATCTCAGCCGGCTGAAGGCTTATAATGCAGCCTTCCCTTAGCAAGGGAGGCAACCAAGGGCTAAATCTTATTTCCAGGAAGAAGCACACCACACACGCACATGCAGCGAATGCTGTGTGTGAGGCTCACAGAGTGGCCGCAGGCTGTGGCAGCCACCACGGGAACCACGGGCCCCAGGCTGCAAGAAGGCAGCTGCCAAGGAGGCATTTCCCGCCAGACACCAGGCAGGCTATGCCAGCACCCGGACGAAGCTGCCCTGCCCAGCGAGGACATGGAGAAGGCCATTCCGAGGCCCACGCCGCCCCTGCCCTGCCCTGGCCCCAGCCCTTCCTTCCAGGAGGGGAGAGAAGGGCGCAAGGGTCAGACCACCAAGGCCCTGAGAATACCCGGGAAGCCCCGAGATCAGTTTGTCCTCTGTTTCCGCTTTACCTTGGCGTGTTTAGTGGGCACTGTGCTGGACTTCCAAGGTGACATGGCATCCATGCCCTTCTCGTTGCTCAATCCAGGAGAGGCCTGTGGGAACCGATCAGCAGGAAAAGGTCAGGAGGCAACATCATTGGGGGACCAGCACCTGTGCTTAGAGACACCACTGCCACCCAGCTGGGAGCCACAAGCCTCCTCTCACGCTGACCCTCTGGGCAGTAACCACCACCAACCGGCCTCACTGCACCAGAGAAGGCTGAGGCTGCCATGAGCAAGGGGAACAGCAGATCCCAGGTGGAAACCCGGCTCTGCCTGAGGCAAAGGCCTGAGGTCCCACCTGCTGTCCTCACAGCCCAACCCAAGAGCCAGCATGAAGCCCTACGAGTGGGCCTCTAGGGACATCTCCAGTCCACCTTAAGCAAGGACCATCACAGTAGAGAGCTGACCCCAAAAGGTCAAAAGCTGAAAGACACACTCCAAGCCCCATGCCTGCCTCACACACCCAGGCATGACACACTCCTGCAGGTACCTCACACACCACCCTCTGCACACACACCTCACACTGCATGCATACACACCCCTGCACACGCACCTCACACAGACCCCCACATGCACAACTCCTGCACATGCACCTCGCACAGACCTCCACATGCACAACTCCTGCACATGCACCTCACACAGACCCCCACATGCACAATTCCTGCACACGCACTTCACAGACTCCCACATGCACAACTCCTGCACACGCACCTCATACAGACCCCCACATGCACAACTCCTGCACACGCACCTCACAGACCCCCACATGCACAACTCCTGCACACACACCTCACAGACTCCCACATGCACAACTCCTGCACACGCACCTCACACACTCCCACATGCACAACTGCACACGCACCTCACACAGACCCCCACATGCACAACTCCTGCACACGCATCTCGCAGACCCCCACATGCACAACTCCTGCACACGCACCTCACACAGACCCCCACATGCACAACTCCTGTACACGCACCTCACACAGACCCCCACATGCACAACTGCACACACACCTCAGACTCCAGCCTCCCGAACGCACACCTCACAGACCCACCTCCTGCATGCACACCTCACAGACACACCACCTGCACGCACACCTCACACCCACCTCCTGCACGTACACCCCACACCACCTCCTGCACACACACCTCACACACCCACCTCCTGCACACACACCTCACACCCATCTTCTGCACGCACACCCCACACCCTCCTGGACGCACACCTCACACTCACCTCCTGCACGCACACCTCACACACCCACCTCATGCACACACACCACAAACCCACCTCCTGCACGCACAACTCACACTCTCCTGCACACACCTCACACCCATCTTCTGCACGCACACCCCACACCCTCCTGCACGCACACCTCACACCCACCTCCTGCACGCACACCTCACACCCATCTGCACGCACATCTCACACCCATCTGCACGCACACCTCACACACCCACCTCCTGCACGCACACCTCACATTATCTTCCCTGCACACACACCCCTGTGTGCATGCTCCCCACACACATGCCTGCAAGACTGCGCCCTGCATAGGGCAACCAGTGCTGCAGTCAGAAGGGAGCAAACAACATTAACTGGAGAGAAGATGCTAGAAAATGTCAATCCATTAGATTCACTGGGCTTTAAAAAGCCCTTCTGATCCACTTAGTAAAGAAAATGAGGAGCGGTCCAGCCTGACACCCATCAGGCTGGAAAAGAGAAGGGGCAGGCTGCCACTCTCGGTGCAGGTGCCGGGGCTCTTGTCGAGTACCAAGCGGAGCGGACAGCAGCCCAAAGGCTGGTCCATCTGCCAAAGGCACAGAAGGGACACTGGTGGAGACTGGAAGCATTCTCAATTTCCCACAGTTGTCAGCCAAATGCAACTTCCCTCTGTGCACCTGACCCCCGCACCTGCGTCACAGCCAGCGGCCCCGCAGAGAAGCTCTGGAACTTGAAGGGGACGTGGGCGGTCTCGTGGGGGCGCAGGTAGAGCTGGGGGGCCAGGCTGCCGTGCAGGTGGAACATGTCCTCCTCCACCGGTGTGTGCAGGCCAGCCGCACCCTTCAAGTCCCTCCACTCCTGACTGTCCACGATGAGGCTGGGGGAGGCAGTGTCCAGGCATCAGGGCAGTTCTTCCCAGGAAGGCCCACAGGAGGGTACATACCACCCACTGAGAGCAGTGCTCAGAAGAGTGGGAGAGAGGAATCAAATCACCTCAGCTCTTGGGCAGAATTCAAGCCAGCTCAGAAGGGGTGCTGGCTGCACCCGACACAGATCTAAGCTGTGAGGGATGGGGGTGCTGCCGGGGCCTCACCTGAGCTCAGTGCTATCTGGAGGGGGATGAGGGCACTGCTGGGGCCTCACCTGAGCTCAGCTGTTGATCAGGGCAGGGGGACGGGGGTGCTGCCAGGGTCTCAGCTGAGCTCTGGGCTGTCGATCTGTGGGGAATGGGGGCACTGCCAGGGTCTCACCTGAGTTCGGGGCTGTCAATCTCGGGGGAACGGGGGCACTGCTGGGGTCTCACCTGAGCTCAGCCGTCAATCTGGAGAGGGATGGGGGCACTGCCGGGTCCTCACCTGAGCTTGGGGCTGTTGATCTGGGGGGAAGGGGGCACTGCCAGGTCCTCACCTGAGCTCAGGGCTGTCAATCTGGGGAAGAGGGGGCACTGCCAGTGCCTCACCTGAGCTCAGGGCTGTTGATCTGTGACGGGGGCACTGCTGGGGCCTCACCTGAGCTCGGGGTTGTCGATCTCCACGGTCACTGTGTGCTGTGTGTTGTGGGGGTTCTTAAGCACAAACTCGAAGAACTCGGCGACCCCCAGCGTGGCATGAAGCGTGTGCTCCGTGGTGATGGATAGGCTAAGCAGGCTGGCGATGCTCTCAGCCTTCATGCGTTCCCGGTAGGCAGCAATGACCTGTAGGTCCCGCAAGTGCTGTGTGCGGACACTCTGCTGGGCCTGGGAACAAGAGGACAAGGCAGACAGGGTCCCAGGCACGCTCTCCTCCGTGAGGGGCTATTGCTGGCCGCCCACCACCCACGGCACCAGAACAGGACATTCCTCCAGGAGCATCACCACCATCATACCCTTCCTTGACCACGTGGTCTGTGTGGAACTGCCCGGCCCCACCCAGGCATGGATCTCAGGCAGTGCTGGACAGAGATCTGCTACACAACACCCTGCCTGCTCCCAAGAGCCTTCACAGCCACGAGCCTGGCCCCCAGCACAGTGCAGAATCAGAAGTGGTGGTTTCAAACAAGAGAAAAGAATGGCCTCAAAACTATGACTGGTGATAGGCCTCACCAGCCAAGTCCCCAACACAACATCGGGAGCACTGTGTGGGCCCAGAGCCCCCAGGAGAGGACATGCCCCCAGCCTGCTGAGTCTCGGTCACACTGGGTCAGAGTCAGGGCAACCAGCATGCTGCCTCAGCATGGCTCAGCCACCCCGTTGCTCTGATGGCCCAGGGACTCTTAAGGGCTTGGCCAGCGCACATGGGTTCTACAGGCTGGAGACTGGCTTTTCTTGTGGGCCTTACAAGAAAAAGTGAGGCCCACTGGAGGCTGCCTTGCAAGATCTGAGGCCTGGAAGGGGACACCCCGATGCCGGGGAGTTGGCCAGGCTTCAGTGGCTCCAAGAAGCTACTGCGGCTGGGCACCGGGAATCTTCTGTCTAATACAGAAGAGATGGGCTGACTTGAATGCTTCCAGGCTTTAACTCAAAAAGCGAGGACAAAATTTGATTTCTGACTTAAATGACTTTGGATATTCACTTTCCATCATCCAAGGCTTTGGCTGTTCTTTGCAGGGGGGTTGGAGCTGGGCCTTTCACACCTGGGGCTTCCATCAGAATTTTATCATCAGAGCTTTTCAGGAGGGGAACCTCTGACAGCCTGTGCTGGACAATGGGGCCAGACATGAGTTAGGATGAGAAACAGGGCTAGGGCTGAGAGCAGCTCCTCAATTTCAAGCTCATGCAGACACAGCCAAGGCCATCCAGGCTGGTGGCCTCCAGAGGCCACAGCTTTAAGCCCTGCCTGTTGGGAGGAAGGGAGGGAGGGAGGGAGAAAGGGAGGAAGGGACGCCTCTGTTGAGACCCGGGCCTGCCTGCATGGGAGGGGAATCTCAGGAGATCTTTCTCGAGGCCCTGGGGTTCCCATCTTCTCCAAGCCCAGGAGGTACAACCATTCTCACCTCCCATTTCTTAGTTGCAAAGTATTAAAAGTTTTATTTAGATTTTCAGCCAAAAAGGGGGGATTTTTCTAGCCCAAATGATTACACTGATAACCCAAGATATGTCAGCTGCTCACAGCTCTGGTCCCCAGACCCCAGGGAGCCTCAGAATCACCTGCAAAGCTTTCTTCAAACCCAGGCTCCGAGGATCCTGCCCAAACCGATCGGTATTAGAATCTCCAGGGGTGACGCCCAAGAACTGGCTTTTGTTAAAAGCTCTCCAGATAATACTCACTTAAAGATTTCCCCTGGTGGCTGAAAAAGTCTGATGTTCTTATTATTCTGTCACTAGGACTCAGAAGGAAGTTTAGAGAGCAACCATGTGGGAGGCAGGGAGAGATGTGTACAGTGACTCGGTCTGCATGGAGACCCCCAGGACAGTGACAGTGGAGAAACCCTCACCAGAACGCTGGTCCCGCGCCGGCCCAATGCTCCCCCGGCCTCCTTCAGGCGCACAGACCTCATCCGCTCCAGCTTGCGCCTGCGGGTGGCATCCACCTCACGGCCGATGTCCTGAGGCCCCTTGCCCCACTGGGCATGGGTCAGCAGCATGGCAGCCAGCTCACTGTCCACGTCCGCCAGCTTCTGCGCTTGCACCACACGCTTTCCTGCGAAAGGGTCAGAGTGGGAGTCAGGTGGACGTACAGTGTCTACCTTCCAGCAGCAGACACAGAAGCAGGCTTCCCAGGACCACCTATCCAGGGAGGGAGCTCAGGAGCACAGCTCATGCTTTTGCAGTTCTGACACTCGGAAAAAGATGGTAACTTTATATCCTGGTTTCCACAGCATCCCCTCCTTTTCCCAGCCTCCAAATTAAAAGGAATTCTGACTTTGGTCGTTAGATCCAAAGCAATCAACAAACCACCAGGGGATTTTCTAGGGGAAGAAGGCCATGTTCTAGATGGTCACGCTCTCAGGATCTTCAAGGGCTCACTAATGCCTTCACCCAGGGCTCTTGGCCTCAGCCCCTCAGATCAACAATGGGGGGTAATGGACTGCCCCCTTGGCAGTAGGCCTCCAGCTAGTAGGGGGTGAAGGATGAAGCTCAGAGCAGGCCTGGCCCTCAAGCTCCCTCTCTCAACTCTGACCCCCATGCCTCCTTTGGGATGGCCCTACTCTCGCCAGGACACACAATGAGAGTCAGTCAGCAAACCAACAGAAGCTGAACAGGGTCAAGCAGTGGCAGGCAAAGGCAAGGCCACTACTGCATAGGCCAGGCCCTTCCTTCCAACACAGAGCATGAGCTTAGGGTGTCGGGTGGGACTGTGCTCAGTGACAAGGCCATGCCACAGGCTGACACGAGACTCCCAGATAATCGCTCAGCCCAGCACAGACAGGGCAGCTGAGGGGCACCCTAGCTTAGGGCCTGGGTCCTTCCTCACTCCCTGGCACCAGCAGAAACTTCCCTCAGAAAGCCAACACCAGCCCGAGCTCTCCCAGCCTAATTCCACTTCCACAGGCGTTGGCAGCCCCTTGCAGAAGCCGCCATACAGTGGGAAGCGATGTGGCCCCCGATTCCTTCTCACAAGGAAACAGGTGCCACCGTCAAGTCCCCCCACCATTCAATTTTAAAGGCAGTGAACTGCTTCGCAGAGGCGAGCGGCTCTTCCAAGTCTCAGGCACAGGCTTGGTCTGCGCTACCTGCAGCCACGGCGGGAGAGGAGGGACCCGGGACCTGGGCAGGCAGGGGTTTATCGTGAGCTCAAGTTTTCAGATTGCATCACGCCAACAAATACTTCGTGGTCCCAATGAAGCCAGAAATGAAGTTACAGAGTTACTGGGTGAGACTGCACCTGGAGCAAGGCACGAAGCACTGAGAACCTTTTTAAAATGTCGCGCAACTTGCTGATTTCAGAGCCCTGCTCCATGGGTGAGACGTGTGTTTTAAGAGACACCTCCTGTCCTGCTTCTGAGCAAAATAGGGTCTGGAGGATCGCTGACCCCAGGGCCTCTGATCTCTCAGCAAGTCCTTCTGGGTTCCTGCTCCCTGACAGCTGAGCCCCTGACCTGCTGCAGCAGGAGGCAGGGTTCATGAATAACCTCAGCTGAGCTCCTGGAGCTCAGGGACTTCTCTCTATGAAGCTGGCTCTCCCACACACTCTAGGTGGGTCTGCTGAGGATGAAGGGCACTGACCCCAGGGCAGGAAATTCAGATTCTAAGCCACGTTCACCCCCTTAGCCACCACACTGGCCAAGTTGCCTGATCTCTCTTCATCTCAGTTTCCTCAGCATTACAATGAGAAAGTGTCAGGGGCCTTGTGGGATCCTTGAAACCTTGCAGAATGGAACCCAAAGGCCCCTCCCACCTCTAACCAGCCACAGCTCCAAGACCCAGCAACACACAAAGCTCCCGGCAGCTCTGAATTCAGAGAAGCTGATCTGCACCCCCCCGGGGAGCATGATCCTTAAAGAGCACTTCCCACGTGTAGTTGAAATGACAAGTACTTTCTATGCAGCTCTGTGAGGCCTGACATTTTAAGGGGATTGAAAAACTTCAGAGCTTCCCTGCTGTGAAACACATTTTCACCAAACCCAGGTCTTTCCCTCTCAAAACCAGGTCTTTCTTTCCCACACTCCATATTTGGCTTATTTCTTCTGTTCACAACATGGGGGACTTGTTTTAAAAACCTCTGTGTTCATCCTGACCTTCTCTCCATTTCTCCTCCCCTTGCAGATGGGCAGCCAGCCAGACACAGACACCACTGGCAGGGTTCCCACTTCTCTAAACAGCACAGTCGCCTGCAGAACCCAGCCTAGAGTGCCAGGGTGTGATCAATGTGGTGGCTCGGTGGGGCCTGCAGGTCCATAGGAGCATCCAGCCAGGGGACCGGGCCACACGTGGACAGCACAGTCCCATCCCAGATGCAGAGGGGCACTGACAGCACCATAAACAGTGCACACACCCACACACATGCGCACATGCACATACACACACAGCCTTTCACCTCTCACACGCCACTCATGACCCACCCACATATGCCCGACAGTGTCAACTCACGCCTTGAGCTTCCACTCGTGAGGAGGCTGCCTCCAGGGAAGTGGCTGGCCCCATCGTTTGAGATGACCCGAGATCTGGACGGTGGCAGTGTACTAGCATCTCTTACTTTCTGTTCACACAGGTGACCTAAACGGAAAACAGCCCATGTTAAGACACTAACCCCAAACAAGAATCTGATGAAACAGACAACCCACCACATAAGCAGTTCTGGCTTTCAAACGGCCCATCTACACCCTGACATGCTAAGTTTCCACCACCTGTTTTGAATGTTTTACAATTGACAAAGGTGGGAGCTGGTTCTGCCGTGAACGTTCATCTCTAGGTCTTCATTCTCCTGCCGGGTCAGAGGCAGCCTCCGTTTCCTGGTGACGAGCGAAACTGTGTGGTGCTCACGGTTTGCCTGCACAAGGATTCTAACTTCTGGATCTCTGGGTCACAAGGTGGGCTGCCTCACAAATTCTAACCTTGGCCTCTTGACGGCCACATTCTTCAAGGAGAGGCCTGTGTGCATTTACACATGCGAACGTCCGACTCCACACACACCCCGGAGTGTGAGAGCCCCCAACAAACCGGAGCCTTCACCAGAGTTGTGTTCATAACAGAAGCCTTTGGAGAGCCAGAGGTGTGGCCTTGGGAAAGCATGTCCACAGAAGACACGTGGCCAATGGGTGTGCCGCCCCTCGAACATGCAAATGTGAGTATCCTGGAGGAAGCCGAGCTTGCCCAAGGCAGGCTCTTCTGCGAGGATGGGACCCACAACCTCGGTGTGGCTTTACCTCCCCAAGGGGTGAGGCAGAGCACTGCCAACGAAGCTGTGTCCCAAAATGAACCACCCAAAGTTATGTGCACAATGCTTGTGCCATCAATTTCCTTAATTCCAATGAGGCAGTGTTGCGTGCCCTCAGGTCTCGGATGTTCTCATCATCTTCCTGGGAACTGTTACAAGTGGGAACCAGCTGGGTGCGGTGGCTCACAGACATCAGCACAAAGGATGGGAAGGCTGGCTGCCTCCTCCCACGCCCCAGTTGTCAACCAGAAAGGCCAGTGGCACATGTACCCAGCCATCTCTTTTCAGGGGAATTTCATTCTTGCCGATGTCCCAGTAGCTGTCACTCGCCTCTCACCTCCTGTTCTTTCTCCTTGAACTCCACGTCAGCACCATGCTGTGCAGCAGGACAGCGATGCTGACCTCCCTGTCACCCCAGGTCCCTGCTATACCCCCATAAGGATGCAGCCTCCGCTTCTCCAACATGCCCTGTGCTGTCCTTCCGCCTTCGGGCTACCAACCGCCTCCCAGCTCCCACAGCGTCCGCTCCGTCCTTACTCCGAGCCGGCTTCCTGAGAGTGGGCACCTAGAATGAGGACTATTTCAGTCTTCTCCCTGCTGCTCTGGGACCCTCCCTCCTGCACTGGCCCTCCAGGGCCACCTCTGCTCCCACATGCTTCGCGGGGGTCTCCAGCTTCTCTTCAAGTTAAAGCGCACCCCAACGCCTGCAGCAGAGGCTCTGCCTCTGCCGGAACACACTCCTCTCCGGGAGTGCCAGGAATCCGTTTTTGCCTTTGACAGTTCATGGTCATAGGATCAAGATCCTCGTCCCTAAGAAAGAAGCCCAGATCAGCGCTCCTTTGCACAAACAGATGTTCTCCTCCCATGACTGTGTCTTCTGAAGCCCAAGGAGAACAGGGCACCAGGGTGAGAAGCTTTCATCAACCTTATCAACGCTTCCATCCATCTCTCCACCATGGTGCCAGGTACAAGGGCGAACCCCACCACAAAGAAGGCATGGTCAGGGTCCTCAGGACTTCCCAGATTCGTGTGGGAAAACAGCAGACAAGCAAGCAGGCCAGGGCAGGGAAGGGACGGCAGCCTAAACCCGCCCAGCCCGCCCACACCAGGGCCAGAGCTGCAGGCACTGGCATTGATGCTCACGCTTCGGCCACACTGCCCTCCACATGACAAGGAGAAAGTGCCACCGGCCCCAAAGCCTCAGTTTCCCACCCACAAGCTGAGTCATCCCGGCTTCTTGCCGTGTTTCTTCCCACGGGAATTCTTGGCAGGGGCAGCAGCTCATGGGCTGGCGGTCCTGGCAAGCTCCCTGTCACGTCCCGAGGACCTGCTCCAAGAAAGAGGGGCCTCCCAGGCGCCCAGCACCTCCATCCACTGTGGGCGGCAGTGGGTTCATCCCACACCAGGGGGCAGCCCAGAATGTTCCGCAGCTTTCTCGACCACCATCATCTGATAGCGAGTGGCTCCCTGAATCACACACGAGAAGGCCCCTGGTCCACCCACATCTGACCGAAGTGAGCACTGGCGTATTTTAAGCCTGTACTATGCAACACCCCAAGAAGTACTAAGAGATCAAGGAAAGTGTTGCAAGGTCAAGCCGGGTCCAGATGGCTCCAGGGGCAGGCGACCACATTCTTGGAGCTCAGGCTTGCAGGACGCCTAATGATGACAATGGCTGCAACGGGTGAGACCAGCAGGACCCCATGGGACACCTTATGGACACGGAACACTGCTGGGCTTCATGACCATTTCCTCTTACTATAGTCATACTTAGCACACATGGGCAAATAAATGGGGTAAACTCAATTTACACTTGCGTGCTCACTCAAGAAGGGGACGAGCGGCAAAGACACAACACCTCATCAGGGCACAACCCCAATTTTCAGTTAGTGCAGGCTTTCTTCCCCTTCCATGAAACAGGTTACACCTGCGCCCACACATCTGCTGCAGGGGCAGGAATTCCCTCCAAACACACACGGCTCCTGACGCAGCCCTGCAGCTGAAGCAAAGTCGCCACCGCCAAGCGTGGGACCCCACAGCCGGGCCATCTGTCAGAGCCCATCACATCCAGTCTCCTTGAACGTCCCGTGAGAACACAGACATTTGGCCTGTGAGGCCATCTGCCCTGACACCTGCCTCCCCCAGGAAGGGCCGCAGAATACAAGTGACACCCGAGCTCCCAGCCAAACCCTGTCCTACTCCACACCCAAGATCACTGGGATCAAAGAAAGCAGTCTGGTGCTTGCAGTCCCTGGATGACAAAAGCTGACCAAAAGTGCAAAAGAGGCCTCCAAGGAAGGCAGCAGGCCTGCATGGAGTGGTCACCAAGCACAAGGGCCATCCTCTCCCCAACATCAGAGTGCCAGGGCCCTGGGCCCAGCTGGCAGACTGTCCCCAGCCTGTCCCCAGCCATGGCACAGGCTTCCTCGAGTGGCCTCAGACAGGAACATGCACTGTGAATGCAGCCAGCCCAGAGCAGAATCCAGGCCAAGGCCAAGGCTCCAGCTCCATCCCACTCGGTCACCATGCAGGCCGGTACCCACGCTGCCGGCACCCACGCTGCTGGCAGACAGAAGCCTGCTGCACCACAAATGAGCCAGTTTTATGAAGAAAGAAAAGCCATAAAACCTTCTTTTCCAAAAAATGCAGAGCTGACGGAGAGCCGGGCTGGCTGCGTCGATGCGCAGAGGGCTGCGGGGGGCATTTGTCCTTTGTTGAAACCTCTCCCTCTCCCTCGGCGCTGGAGTCTCCCAAGCTGGCTATCTCAGCCTCCCTTTCCCATGAGCTTATCTCTCTCTTGCAGGCAAAGTACGAAAATGACAATTTGAGATAACATATAATGGAGCCAATCTTTCTTCTGAAGATAAGATTTTAAAACCTGGAGTCACTGCACATTTGTGGGCTGGAGAATTAAATATAAAAACGAGCAGTGCAGTCTCGGAGCAGAGCGCTGCCTGCAACTCTCTCAGCTGCATGAGCCTTTGAATAATGCCTGCTTCTCACATGTGGCTCATTTATTTCTCCAGAACCTAATTGAGTTTTGCTGTGTCCATATTGTCTCTCTTGCAGGCTGCCTCGGATCTACATTTGTAAACAGGCAGGCAGAGCCTCCAACTGACTCACGAGCTGTGCACTGGCGCCCCTCCGCTGGCCCCCCCAGCCTCTGCGCTGCCAGCACCGGGTGGATGTGGCCCGTGGGGCTCTGGGGTTTATAATCAGGCTGGGTTCTGAGAAGTGGAAAATTCCCTAATAAAATAGCAGAGAAGTCTCAGTCTCACGCAGACAGACGCAGCTCCAGAAACATCACACAGCTTAGTTTTGTGGTGATTTCAGTGCTACCCTAAAAAATTCCAAATGCTCCAGAGGACCCTCGGGAGGTTCAGTGAGCTTGTCACTGGCCCTGCAGGGTCCCATGCCGGTCCTCTGCCCTGAGGCGTGCACAGGCAGGCACCACCAGCCTTGTGTCCCTTGACGTCCCATCAGCAGCCCCTGTCCCAGCAGAGGCCTCAGCTGAAGCCCCTGGAACGTCCCAGGCGGGACCCTCCTTGAGCCGCCCAACCCATGTGTCCCCTCCGCCACAGTCCTGGACGTGGAATGAAGTCCAGGGCTGTCTTAGTCTCTCTAACAAGCAATTCCGGGGCACCATTTGCTACCAAGTCATGGCACTGGGCAGAGAAGAAGTATGCCTCCCCATTCTCCTCCTCCCGGGCTGCAGGGAAGTTAGGAACACTCCCCTTGTCTATGCTCCATGAGGCACAGGGAGGTCTCTCCTGGAACCCGGTCACTGTATCTGAGGACTGCCCAGAGATCTTCCAGGGACAGTACCACATAAAGCAATGCAGGAGAGCCTGAGAGGACTGACGGCCTTTAACCCCGTGAGAAATGCAGAATGCAAACACCTGGCTCCAGGACAGACTCAGCAGCTGAGGACACAGGCTCCATGGCCAAGCTGCTAAGAATTCTGCCAGCTTCCTCCTGGGCCTGTGACGCCCATGACGTGGCCCCTGCCTGAGGGAGCCCACACTACGAGAGAAACAGCGCAACGCGGGGCAAAGCTGGCAGGGACTCTTACCCACATTGGCCAAGGTCAGGTACAGCCGGCCCTTCACCACCGAGTGGACGCCGATGGGCTTGACACGGCCAAACCCCAGCACGTCGCCACTCACCACCATGGTGTCCTGCTCGTATTCGGTCGCCACGACCTCAAGCTCGTGGGAGGCCTGCACAGCCGGCCGGCCTTGGCGGAGGAGATGCTGCGGGGGAGAAAGGCGTGCTCAGAGGCTGGAGGCAGCCAGGCCGCTTCCATGACCCCTGCAGGTGGAGGCTGCTCCCCAGCCCTCCGGGAAAGCCACTGTGGGCAGGAGGCGGTGGGCAAAGCAGGACAGACCTGCATCCCGTGGCGGGCAGGGGGGCAGCGAGCCAGGGGCCTGTGTCTCAAAGCAGGAGTCCTTATTACTGGGGTCTTTTTCACAGTCTTACATAAAGTACAACTGATTGACCCACTGAATAAACACCACTGGGCCCTGGGAATGCATAAGTGGTTCTGGCATCTGTCATGAAGGAGCCTCCCCTCCACAGGGAAGAAGACCAGGAAAGAAGCCAACCAAGCAACGCGGAGGGCTCCAAGCTGAGCCATGTCTGGGACACCGAGGAATCCAGGACGGAAACCTGAAGGAGACTCCAGGAGGAAGACGGGCCACGCACAGATAAGGCACAGGAGGCAGAGAGGGCAGGGGAGGCAGAGAGGACCAGGGAGGCAGAGAGGGCCGGGGAGGCAGAGAGGGCAGGGGAGGCAGACGGGGCCAGGAGGCAGAGAGGGCAGGGGAGGCAGAGAGGGCAGGGGAGGCAGACAGAGCAGAGGAGGCAGAGAGAGCAGGGGAGGCAGAGAGGGCACGGGAGGCAGAGAGGGCAGGGGAGGCAGAGAGGGCAGGGGAGGCAGACAGAGCAGAGGAGGCAGAGAGAGCAGGGGAGGCAGAGAGGGCACGGGAGGCAGAGAGGGCAGGGGAGGCAGAGAGGGCAGGGGAGGCAGACAGAGCAGAGGAGGCAGAGAGAGCAGGGGAGGCAGAGAGGGCACGGGAGGCAGAGAGGGCAGGGGAGGCAGAGAGCACAGGGGAGGCAGACAGGGCAGGGGAGGCAGAGAGGGCAGGGGAGGCAGACAGGGCAGGGGAGGCAGAGAGGGCAGGGGAGGCAGACGGGGCCAGGAGGCAGAGAGGGCAGGGGAGGCAGAGAGGGCAGGGGAGGCAGAGAGGGCAGGGGAGGCAGAGAGGGCACGGGAGGCAGAGAGGGCAGGGGAGGCAGAGAGCACAGGGGAGGCAGACAGGGCAGGGGAGGCAGAGAGGGCAGGGGAGGCAGACAAGGCAGGGGAGGCAGAGAGGGCAGGGGAGGCAGAGAGGGCAGGGGAGGCAGAGAGGGCACGGTAGGCAGAGAGGGCAGGGGAGGCAGAGAGGGCATGGGAGGCAGAGAGAGCACGGGAGGCAGAGAGGGCGGGGGGGCAGAAAGAGCAGGGGAGGCAAACAGGGCGGGGGGGCAGAGAGGGCAGGGGAGCAGAGAGGGCAGGGGAGGCAGAGAGGGCAGGGGAGGCAGAGAGGGCAGGGGAGGCAAAGAGGGCACAGGAGGCAGAGAGGTCCAAGGGCACAGGGTACAATGCCCCCCTTGCCTCCCTGGGCCAGGGAGCAGGCTTGGGTGGGGCCTGTGGGGTACATGCAAGGGCCGTGGGGCATGAGGGGCCGGCAGCTGAGGCCCAGGGTGAGGATCTATATGCCAGGCCAAGGTTGCTCGGGGCATGGGGGGAGCCAGAAGCCTCAGACCCAGCAGGGCCTCAGCAGGACTTCCCTGACCACAGGCTTTTTTGCTTAACAGATTCAACCCCTCTATCCCCTGCCTGAACCCCAATGCTGCGAGGGGCATGGGGGACGACAACAGCCTCCCGGCTGCACCCCAGACCTGGCTGGCACTCTTCCCCATGTGCCCCCCCTGCACTGGCGTTCCCTCTCACATAAGCAGCAGGGTGGGAGCAGATGAGGTTTTGGATTTTACAATTCTCCAACTACTACAGCAGCAAAACTGCCAATCTCTGGGAGTGAGACGCCGAGACCTGACCCTTCCCTTGTGGGTCTGGGGTCTTCGGTCGCCACAGACCCTGCTCGCTCTGCCACACTCGTCTACACTGCATACAATCACTGCACAGACACTGACGGATCAAGAACCTCAGTCACTGGGAGACTGGGATGTGAGAAGACGCCTTTGGAGAACGGCCAACACATACAAGGAGCCACGTCGGCCGCTCCAGGAGGCGAGGAAACGCCAGTGAAAACAAGGCACCATCTCTCCCAAACCATTACCAAGACGGCCAATGGCCACTGGTTTAAAGGCTGATGCCCCATGAAGCCGAGGGCATGGGATACCGTGCCTTCTGTCTGCAGCAAGTGCAGGCCTGGCTGAGCCTTCGGGCCAAGCCCCACCTGGCTCTGCGCGCCTGCAGGGTCGTTGGCCTCATCAGAATTCTTCTTCCGGGAACATGACATTTGCGGAGGAGAGGATGGTAAAGAGCACGAGCTCCGGAGACAGAATTAGCTAAAACTCTGCCCTGCTTATTGTCAGCAGGACCCTGGGCCTCTGTTTTCTCCATCAGAAAAGAGGATAAAAACACAACTGCCCCAGGGCTGGGTTGAGGGTCACGCTGCAGGCAGCTTAGGAGCCATCCATCCCTGGAGGAAACTCATCACCGCAGCGACGTGTGCTGGCCAGCACCCCCAGGAAATCGGCTGGAAGATGGGGGTAAAACTGAACTTCCAGAGGTCCGCAGCAGTGACTGGCAGAAGGAAAAGCCACCATAACGTCCCGCAACAGGAAGAGCTGAAACCAGATGAAAGCCGGCCCCGCGTGCAAAACCTGACGGCTAGCCAGGGCATCTAACTCTCCCAGGATCTCAAGGCAAGAGGGTTCTCTCTGATTATCTGTTTGTCATGTTTTCCACCTAAGTTTTAAAGTTAAAAGACTTTATTTTAGAAAAGTAAAGCTCTAAATTTAATTTATTCAAGTCTATGTCAACAAGTTAATCGCACTTGTGTCACGGGAGCTCCGTGCAGGAGCGGATGAGATGGCTTCCGTCTCCAGGTGGGACAGCAAACAAGAGGCACAAGGCTTGGCTGGGCATGATGGGGGAGCCACTGCTGCCACACATGTGCCCAGTAGGGCCCAGCTCTGCCTCCCGCTCCACCTGCCTCCCACTCCTCTCCATCATGCAGCGCCTGCTGGGGCTGAGGCCTGTGCTAGAAGAGAGAGGCTGTGGTGTCAATACCCCGTCCCTTCCCTGGAGACATCAAGGCCAGGGTGGGAGACGGACAAGCAATGGCCACAATGACCCCGTGGGGCGCATGCCATGACCCTGATGGGAACAGGGCCCAGGGTGAGGCAGGAGAAGAGCAGTCAAGCCTTGAGGGGTCCCTAGCACCCGCAGAGCACACCCTGAACTTCTGTGCACGGCCCACCACCCAGGGAGCCGCAAGCAGACCATGGCCCAGAGGAAGAGCAGCTGGAAGAAACCCCACACCTCCACACTCAGCACCCCAAGAACACAGCGAGGCTGAAGGAGCAGAGGAGCTGAGCTCAGGAGTCAGCAGCTGCTGGAGGGGATGAGGCTAAGTCAGGAAGCCCCGGGTTCCGCCGTGTCAGGAATCCAGGAGCAAAGAGCTACGCAGCACTCAGGGGAAGTGGGGAAGTCTCAAACTCTGGGGCTGTGATGATGGTACCACATCCTCTGCCAGCTCCACCCCGTGGCCTAAGAGGAGAAGTCTCAGGACACTACAGTTGCTCGTGGAACTGGCCCCAGTCCTTGGCCCAAAAGTTATTATGGGGTCCCCTTCATATAGTGGAGAAGCTTGGGCAGAATCCCAGGGAGGACGAGTGAACGAATCCACGGATTTAGGTTTTAGTACGCAAGGAGAACAGAAAAGCACAATTAGTAAGAGAGATCTACTTGTAATTAGAACGAGAAAGGCACAGAGCCTGTCCTGATCTTAGGAATCAGCTAACAAACACTGCACGCCCGGTCACTCGGGTCTTCCTTCCTCCACCTGAACTACCTCAGATGCGCCTGCCCTCACCACATGCACCACGTGGAAGGAGCTGAAGTGACACTGCCTGGCAGGTCAGTTTGCAGGAGAAACAGATGACTGAGTTTCATCTTAAGAATTTCCTGAGAAAACAACTAGCATTATAGAATTCAGACAGTGAAAAATCTTCTCCTTTCAGGAAACAGAGATGCAGCACAATGTTTAATTAGTGAACAGAGGCCAACCAGGTCCCGCGTGGGACAGTGCCCGCTCCTGCCAAGCAGGCAGACCCTGAGAGGGACGCAGCACCCACTGTCCTTCAGGAGGGCCGCTACCTTCATGTGGACGGCGGCAGAGCCGATGAGCAGCAGGGAATCTCCATCCCAGACGTCGATCTGCAGGGTCTGCATGGCCAGGTAGCGGGTGAAGTGGCGCCGCTCGCCAGGCTTCAGGAACCCGGGGCCCACCATGTACCTCAGCTGGAAGCCAGGAGACCCTGGAAAAGAGGCCCCAAAGGAGGCCAAAAGTAACTGGAGTCAGTCGTCATCTTTCCACTTGGAAGAGACTTTGTCTCTGGTCATGATTACTAATTTCTGCTTCTGTCACAGCTACAGTTAATAAACACATTAATCAAAAACATCATAAAATATCCAAATTAACAGAATGAAGAGTCGTGTTCAGAAGACTACATTTCTTTCCCACATAAACAATAAACTCCTCCCCTAATAAGATTTATGGTTTCACCAAGTCGTCGTAACAGCCTATGATGGATGGGAGCAAATGTCCTTATGAGGCTGGCTGGGGAGTTCATTATTCTGGGCACGCAGAATTTAAGACGAAATGTAGTCTACATCTGCTGCCAAAACTGGCATGCTCACACACACAGGTAGAGCTCCAGCCGAGGTCAGGCTGCGAAGCCACTGCGGGACACCCAGCAGCCCCCTCTCCTGCCCTAACGCAGGACAGCCCCTGCCTCGCCAGTATCCCAGGCTTCTCCCGTGGGGTCTGCCCAGGCCATCGGGCTGAGACGGGACTGGACTGTGGCCCCTGCCTTCATCTTCTTGAAGTGGCATTATCATTAATTCTAAATTGACAAAAATGCCATTGGAACCCTCCTTAGTTAAAGTTCAAGGAACAGCAGTGCTGGGAAGCATTTCAAAACAACATTTATTTCTCTTTCTATCAATAATGGTGACAACATCCCTGCAGCCCCCAACAAGCAGAGGAAGGAGCGAATGTTTCCTCAGCACCTCCAGTACCAGGCCCTGGGCCCGGCGGAAGTCTGGCCACAGCTCCTCTCCACCCAGGCTCCAGCCACCTCGAGCCCCATGGGATGACCACAGACCACACCCCATCTGCTTTTCTCAAGACCAGAGGACAAGGGGTGAGTGCCATGTGTCAGGGCAGGGGACTGAGGGGGAGTGAAGAGTGCAGGGCCCAGGGTGAGCCCCAGGGAGGTGGGACAGGGCCCACCGCTCAGGCCCAGCACTGGCCACAGCAGGATGTCACGGGGGCATCTGGGACAGAAAGGCAAGTAAAGAATATAGACAAAAATAAGAAGGAGCTGGCAATTAACATCACTCAAGGGCAGGCGCCTCAGAGGTGACCAGCCACACAGCCCCCACCCCTGCCCTGGCCCCAACTATCCTGGACTGTGGTATCTAGTCAGAGCTCAGGACACACCCACGCACAGACGTGAGCCCCGTGGCACTCCTCGCCGGGGCAGCAGGCCCTGGAACAAAGACCCATGAGCACCAAAGCCTGGCTCAGGGCACGACCTGTACTGACCTGAGCTGCAGAGGAAGGAGGGGCCCAAGCCCTCCCTCCATTACCAGCCAGGCCTTTGCAGGTCAGCTCTGCACCCCCACCTCAGCCTCTCCCACACCAAAGACCCTCCTAGAGTTCTAGGCACATCCAGAACACAGCTTGACCCAACAGGACCCTCTGTCTTGTCTCCCAGGGAGCTCCTTCCAACGCCCCACTGGGTCAGCCCCCGCTCCATCCCCACTATATCCCAGCACTACCAGGGCCTTTCAATGCTACCACTAATCCACTCACTCAGCAAACAAACGACTGCATCCGACCACATTTGGGGCCCTGCACGAGGTAATGCTGGGAGAACTGAATAAGCAGGGCCCCACCCTTAAGGAGCACAGGGTCTCAAGGACAGAGATACCCTGAACCCAGAGCTGACAGTGTGCTGAGAGCTCCTGAGTGGGGAGGGACATGCCAGGCGCAGGGCCATCCTGTTCTGGGCACCTCTGACCAGCCTCCCAACTCTCCCCACCACAGCCTCGGACCTCTCCCCTTCCTGTCCAGCTGAGACAAAAGGCTGCACCCCTGAAGTCCAAGCTCCTCACGGTCCACCCTGTGTCATTTTCACCCCACTCAGAAGCCCGGGAAGCTGGCCTCCACCTGAACTAAGAAGACTCCCAGCGGCAGTGGCACTATCCTCCCCAATCCCACCTCTTGAGCCCCCTTCACAAAAACCACACCACAGCCCTGGTGGAATCCTCACTGCTCTGGGATTGAGGAAACGGAAAACACAGTCATGGTAGAAACTAACCACTCTCCTTTCAAAGGCAGATCCAGGCAACGATGAGTGAGTAACAATCTAGAAGACCAGAGTAGCTAACTCCCATGGTGTCAGGGGTCAGGGGTGCAGGGATCGATCTTAACGCTGCACCCCAACGGCAGAGAAAACAACTTTTCAAGTGTATTTGGAACACTAATAAAAACTAACCATATATTAGGCCACAAAAAAAAAACTACACTCCATAAAGGAGAAATAATACAAATAATAATCTCTAAACATAATGCAATAAACTAGAAATTAATACACCAGCCTGGGCAACACGGTGAATGAAACCCCATCTCTACAAAACATGTAAAAATAAGCCAGGCATGATGGTGCACACCTGTAGCCCCAGCTACCCGTGAGTCTGAGGCCGATCACTTGAACTCAGGAGATGGAGGCTGCAGTGAGCTGAGACAGTGTCACTGTGCTCCAGCATGGGCTGCAGAGCAAGACCTAGTCTAAAAAAAAAAAAAAGAAAATGTAAATTAAAAAAATAATAAATCAGCAACTTACTCATAAATAACTTTCTGTCAAAGGGCAAACACAATCAAAAAAGATTTTCTGGAAAAAATAATAATGAAAATACTACTTATCAGTATCAACAATCATAAGGCAGTAATCATGGGAAAATTCGTAGCCTTGAATCCTGTATGTCCATACAAACGAATTAAGATAAATGAATTAAGCAGCTCAAAAAAAATTAGGAAAATAGTAAAGAACACCAAAAATCAAGGAGAAAAGAGGAAATTGTAAAGATAAACAAAAAATTTCATCAATTAGAAAAAAAAAATACAAAAGCCACATGACACAAACTTTAAAACTCTTCAGAAAGGTGCAGAGTAGAAACGAATACATGGAAAGGCAGCCCCGTCCCTGGACCCTCATCTCCTCGGGGTTAGGTGTGAATTCTCCCCATGTTAACCTATAATGTGATGGAATCCCCACAAAGATCCTAAAAAGTCCTTGTGGATAACGAAATAAGCAAGAGTACCCCGGAAAACCCTGCGAGGGAGATCAAGGTGGTGATTTCTGCTTGCTAGAAATCTAGACAATGAAGGAGGCTCTGACCAAAGGCGCGGTCCCTGTGACACAGACCCAGCCCCGTGCAGAGGACGCAGCTGCAGCCCGAGGCCAAGCTCGGCAGTGAGATCAGAAACGGTTTTTATGTTTCTGACGAGCCGTAAACTAAAAGAAGAATATGTGACAGAGACCACGAGCGGCCCAGAAAGCATCAAATATTTACTAGCTGGCCCTTAACAGAAAACAGTTTGTGCTGAGTCTAATGGAACAAATTAGAAAATCTAGAAATAGCCCCCAATGCGTGGAAAAGGTTGGTACATGATGAGGGTGGCTCTCAAGTCACCGGAGGAAAGACGGAGTTTTGTCAACAGGCGTGGGGGCCGCTGGATAGACACGAGACGAGGTAAAACTGGATCTGCGCCTCTCCTCACACAGTAGGAGAAACTGCTAAGAGATCGGATGTCTAAACATAAAACCTGCAAGTCCAGGAAGAACACAAGCCTAAATCGCTCTGTAAAGCAGAAGAGGAGAAAGACTTTCTGTCTATGACTCAAAAATTTAGAGGCAAGGACCAGGCACGGTGGCTCACACCTGTAATCCTAGCACTTTAGGAGGCCGAGGCGGGCAGATCACAAGGTCAGGAGTTCAAGACCACCTTGGCCAACATGGTGAAAACCCGTCTCTACTAAAAATACAAAAATTAGCCTGGTGTCGTAACACACATCTGTAGTCCCAGCTACTCGGGAGGCTGAGGCAGGAGAATTGCTTGAACCCAGGAGGCGAAGGTTGTAGTGAGCCGAGATCGCACCACTGCACTCCAGCCTGGGTAACAGAGCAAGATTCTGTCTCCAAAAAAAAAAAAAAAAAAAACAAAGAATTTAGAAACAAGAAAAGATTGACACATTCAACTCCATTTTTAAAAAAACGTTTACAGGGCAGAGCCCACCATTAGCAAAGTAAAAAGACAAATGGCAGAGTAGGAAAACACATCTGCAATTTTTCACTCTATCACGAGGGTTCATCTCCCTAATGAGAGCTCCCCAGAACAGAAGACAAAATAGATTAAAAACATGGTATGAAATCATGATATGACACAGATATGAACAGAAGTTTGCAGAGGAAGACAAATGTAAAAGATACTCAATTTGACTCATTACAAAAGAAACGCAAATTAAAACCACACTAAGATGGCCTTCACATCTACGGGACTGGAAAATTCCCAACCTTTAACGCCCCACTTCGAGGGCGAGCAAGAGGAATGGAGCAGCCTGGTGGGTCGCCAGCAGAGCCCCGGGCAGCACCCGACAGAGAGTGTGCGCAGCCGTGTCTGTCAACACCTCGGAAGCCTTTGATTCCATATTCCCCCTCCCAGAACCAGAAAGAATCAAGGTTACTAATTGCTGAGATAGCGAAACACTGGAAATGACGCAAACATCTATCGGGAGAGTGGCCGAACAAACAGCAGCGGAACCGCCCCGTGGAGTACGACGCAGCTGTAGCAGAAACAAGCACAGGTGACGTCTGCGATGTTCACTGAAAAACGCAGGGAGCAGAAATGTGTATCTGGTATGTTACCACTGAATTAGAAAGCAGGGAAATAAAACATAAATGTTTGCTTATTTTTGAAACAACCAATCAATAAAGACACTGCAAGGACCAGCCATACATGAAAAGTCTGGTGACCGTCAGGAGGCGGGCAGGGGGTGGAGCCGTGGGGATAATGGAGGCAGGGAGCCCCATGCACACGCCGGACTATGGTGTTCAACTTTCAGCCGTGTGAATATTCCAAAACATTAAATCAAAAGGGAAGGAAAGCAAACAAAAAATTGAAAACAATTTTAAAACAAACGGACATACTGAGTATCAAACTGGAGATAAGAGTTATTTTGGGCGTTTTG